GAGTGTTTCCCAGTTTATTAGACCAGTGAACTTGACATCTTTCAAGACAGGTCAACACTCATTTTCAGCAAGCCTTCCTGCAGCCCTCTCCCGACACCAGTCCTCTTATCTTCACTTCCTACATGATTTAGTTAACTTACCACCTTGGGCTCAGAGTTTTTTTTTTTTGTTTGTTTTTGTTTTTTTGGTTTTCTTTTGTTTTGTTTTAGACACCGTGTCTTCCCATGCTAAACTGTGAGCACCTCAGGGCCTAGAATTTTATTCATTCCTTCAAGTCCCAGGTGGAGTTCCTGGCACAGAAGCTTAATAAACACTTGTCAAATGAATAAACTAATGAGTAGAAATCCCTAACTTTTGTAATTAACCTAAAGGGGGCCTACATTAAATTTGAAAGGTTACTTAGGAATTCCATTGTGAGTATATGGATTATCCACCTAATTATTTATATCGAAGTTTTAACTCTAGGCCTGCTGTCCTATTTTCTAGAAAGTTTCTGGGTCACCTTTCACAGTCAGTTACCAAGGGAGCATGAGAGAATTCAATTCAGTGTCAACCTCAAAAATGGAATGAGAAAGAAAAACATAAAAATCAGATAATTCCTTTAAAGTCAAATATACTGATAAATTATACTCTAATATTCTTTATTTAAAGTATAATTTTCATGTTACTTTAAGTGTTCCATATTTCTTTTATCATATACAATGACATCAAAACAAATGAACTATGGTGATCAGACATAAAATTTACATCAGACTCTTCAGACTTGGGCAGATAAGGCTCTTGAGGGGAACTCTAAGCAGGGTGATTATGGGAGGATAAGAATTGATGAAGACTAGAAAAATAAACGAGGGTGAGGTCATGAAAGGCAGCTAGCACTTTAAGTCATATTGTTAGGTTTGGGCTTTATCCCATAGTAAATGAAGAACTGCTACAAACTCTATCAGATGAATGACGTAGTCATAGAGTAGGCTCTCTGTGTTACTGCAGTACCTTTGTGTGAGATACACGCAGCTGCTGATGCCAAACCAAGGCAGGGCAGTGGGACGAGAGAGAAGACATTGAGAGACATTCATAAAAAAGATTATTATTTGATGAACAATCCTACATAAGGTGTGAGGAAATACCTTCCTTTGAATGTTTTTGGTATTACAATGTAGACAACCAAACACTTCTATTTTCTTTTTAGTTTGATTCTAATGGTACCAGGGTCAAAAGTGCTAATGTTATGACTAGCTATCCCCTATTTAAACTCAGAAGAGAGTCACCAAAGAAAGAAATACAGTAATGGCATGACCCTACTGTGTTTTTTCCCCCCGACTTATAAAAAGCAAAGCATTTCCAATAAATCCACTGAAACTGAATCCTAATCAGCAATATATTTACCATCAATCAGGATTTTATTTTGCTCCATTGACCGATTAAATTTTCAGTGAGCTTTTGATTGAGAGACCGGCGCTAAAAGATATCTGGTGCACAGCCATCGGATCAACAACACAAGACAGCACAGAAAAAGGGTTTAAGAAAAATGACCAAAGTAAAAAACTACAACATTCAATGTTAACAAAAGTTTTAATATACACTTGACTGAAGATGCATACAATGACTACTGAATCTCTATCTATAGACAACCAAGATACGAATGAATTCATTAGCTTCCAGCAAAACTTCAGGCTGTGCACTTAAAGAACTGGAAACCGTTTAAAAATGAAAATTAACAGTGGAAGCAACAATGGCTATAAAGTATGGTGGGATGACTTTAAAGAGAGGATTCAAGTACTGTTTGGAAAGTTCTTCAGACACTAGTCTTTGAGAAGTTTGTGCATTTCCCATCTTTGCATAGTAAAAAAAAAAGAAAGAAAGAAAAACAGAAGCTAAAGTCACACACGTACCACTTGGCAAAACTCCACAGCTCTATGTGACTCATGTTTTAGAACATGCACCTATGTGTACTGCCCGTTTATCTAATAGGAGTAGCTCTAATTCCATGGGCTCATGCAGTATCCCAGGGTGAGCAATGAAGTCAGCGCACATCTCCTCATCCAGGTATCACCAATTGATGAAGCAAAAGTTAACGGGTGAAATGGGAACTTGTCATCACTTTACACTAACTCTTGTTGGGTAACATTAAACGGTGAGATGCCTGTGCTTTGAGCTCAAATGAATAAACTGGCATAGTTACACCACAAGAATCAGCAAATGAATGGCATGTGCAAGAGAAAATACAACAGATCTTGAAATTACATAAACTAATACCACCAAACATAACTATAATCCACTGTTCACAATTGGTATGGTTGCATTATCTTTCATAGTCTTACACAGATAGCTTAAAGCTCGTGTATTTTACATATACACACAAATAATTTAACATTGGAGCATAGGTTTCATTACCTATGAAATTGCCAGTGTAATAAAAAGTTACACTGACAGTTGGCATATGTACATAATATTTGGGGACCACTGTGGTCTGATTTAAAACATAACATCGCACATTTACAATGTTGTTTGTGAAATGCTCAAAAGTTACCAACAGGTTTAAACTTGTTTGTAGTACCATGGTTTTGTATCTGTTAAGTCAAACATGGTACCTCTGAACAGCAGTGAAATGTGTGTGGTGGACTCAACAGCAGCTAAGTATCCACTGGTGAACAGGACTCGACAACAGAGGCACAAACAACGCAGTGACAGGAAGAGATCCCGAGTAATCTGAGTTTCCTCCAGGCTCCCTCTAAGAGCCAGTGCTGCGTGGTAGAGGGATACCACTCATGTCTTATGACACCAAGGGTAAGGCTGATAAACCTTGTCAGTAACCCTGTTATTACAACATAAGCATACAGCTAGTGCTAGAGAAAGACTACATACCTGTGTAGCACCGAGGACTCAGAAAGCAATAACAGGATTAAGATGTTAGATCATGGTCTATTGTAGCATTTAGAAATTAAGGTTTCTGCTCTATGACTGCAACACTTCCAAAGCAAAGGATAACTTGGGGAAACCCCCACTGTTTAAAGCAGTACATTTTAAGGGAAAAATCCCTTGCAAAGTTCAGGCAAAAGCGGTGAGACTAGTGTCGCGAATCTTGCTGAAAAAGAACTAAAAGCTCACTTGAGCAACTAATTTAGTTGTCATGAAGAAGTGAATGGGACAATTAAAGAAGTGTGGGCTCTTTAGGGGCCCTCAGTAAAACAGTAAAACATCACTAGATGCTTACTAAAGTGATCATGTACAAGCTTTTATATTAAAAAAAAAAAGCTGGAACTAAATTTCTTTATTACCGTAGATACTCAATACTTGAACGAAAGCTATCTTGACCATCAATGGAAGAAAAAAAATCAGTGACAGTGAATTAAATTCAGAGGGGCTTGGGAACCCAGATTACATCTGCAAATCTGCCTGGAGGGAAAAGAACAGTGTGAATTTGTATATAGTAGAATCCCATTGTAATCCATCACAACATTTCACAGATCAGTCATACACTGAGGGCCAGACAAGGCTGGTTGAAAACACAACACACAGAATTAAAGCCTATCTTAACAGTGCTCAGGAAAAGGTAAATGCTGTTTCTGTCCTTATTGCCAGCTTTACAGTGGGGATCCACCATATATATTTTGAGGCAGGAAGTTGAAGGCATGAATGAAATACTGACAATAATAGATATGGAATAAAATGAAAAGTTTAACTTTTTCCCCAAGCTTTCAACATTTAAAAATTATTTTTTAATTTAAGGCTTTAAGTTTATCCTCCTTTCACATTAAAGACAGGGAAAGAAAACTGTCAAAATCAAAAACTAACATCATGAGCTTGGCACTTTTGTGATTAATTTGAGAGGGCGTCTACTTTCTTACATTATATACAGATGTTTATAATGACATCAAAAAAGTTAGAGACTTGTGAGTACATATATCTGCATTTACATAATTTTTATGCTTTTATTATGGGTTGTTTTGTTCTTTGTGTCCCCCACCCTTTGTTTATTTTTGGTTTCAAGCATTTCATCTCATTCAATCATTTCATTTTTTTTTTAATTGCACCTGTTTTGTGCCCAAACTCCTTGAATCTGTGGCCATATCTGTTTGTTTGGTTTTTTTTTAAGCAAACTCAAGAATCATTGTACAACATGTTACAAGAGAGGATAGAGACAAGAGAAATAGAGAAAAAGAATAAAAATGATGGAGAACAAACAATAAACTCAAATTTACAGACAACCTTTACAAGAGAAATATTTCAGTACAGACAAGTGAAAATGATGTGTCAAAATCTATTTCCATATTTACATTTATAAAAGAACTATACAATAGCATCATTGTTCAAATTCCAGCTACCATTTCCAAAGGATGTGAGGTCCAGGAGAAAAGACAACAGGAAGTGAATCAACAAGAGCAGGGGTGTGTGGAGTTCCTCATGGCCTGGTCAAGACTAGGAAGCAGGGAGAGGAGGGCAGGCAGCTTCCGTGGGTTCATCTGCCACTTTCATCTTAGGAAATCAGTTGCAGGTTTTGCTGTGGATTGGCTTGCTAGCTGTTTGTTGTATATAGGCCATGCAGATTTTACCCTTTCGAAAATTAGATCTTCATGCCGCTGGAGTGTGTCATTGGTAAGAAAAGAAAAAAAAAATCATGCTAAATCATTTAGAAGATATTAAGTGGTAGCAGGTTGAGGAAAGAAAAAGATCCTTTGCTATTTTTTAATGGTTCTTTTATTGCACTTAATTTTTGCTGTTCCTTCTTCCTTTCATTAGAAAAAAAAAGATTCTGAAATAGTTCTTTGTACAATATTGTCTTTTGCTCCCTTTTATTGATAGGTGGTGGGAGGGGTTCTTTGAAATTATTTCCAAAAAGGACAGTTTTCTTTGACCCCATCCCTGTTACCCCAATGTTAGTTCTCTAGTCATTACCACCCAAGGTTTTTGTTCACAGACTTAATAGTTCTGGCAACGATGCTGCAAGTATGTCATACCCAGAATCCCACAGTGCAAGATGCTGTTCATCCAGGGCCGCTGATTCAAATGGGGCCTTGCTGAGTAGGATCAAACCTCCTCTTCTTGACATTTCTTCCAGAGTGCGTCAAAAGAAGATGCAAGCAGAAGGGGGAAAATCCACAATATTAATCAGATGATGATGAGAGAAGGGTAATAATGACAGCAATGCTAGTTCCAGAGCAAAGTAATCAACTCACCCCAAGGCGGACTGTCCAAAATAACTTGAAACACAGAACGGCTTACACTTTTGGATGTTGTTACACCCTCCCTGCCAGCGTATATCCATTTGTGAAGGCTGAAAGACGCTTCCAGCTGTTCACTGTAAACCACAGAAAGCCTCAGCAGCCCAATTTGTCTATTTCAGAAGGAAGTGTAAACGTTGCTCAGTTGTGTCCCACTCTTTGCAACCCCATGGACTATACAGTCCATGGAATTCTCCAGGCCAGAATACTGGAGTGGGTAGCTGTTCCCTTCTCCAGGGATTAAACCCAGGGATCAAACCCAGTTCTCCCACATTGCAGGAAGATTCTTAACCAGCTGAGGCACAAGGGAAGCCCAAGAATACTGCAGTGGGTAGCCTATCCCTTCTCCAGCGGATCTTCCCGACCCAGGAATCAAACCAGGGTCTCTGCATCGCAGGTGGATTCTTTACCAACTGAGATATCAGGGAAGCAGATTTCAGAAGGAAATGACATAGCTAACTTTAACTAGGTATAAATTAATCCAAGAGGCTCTTCCACTTAGGGGGCTATTAGAAAAACTAAGAAATAATTTTGAAAGTCTTATAACTGCTTCCTTTGGGAACTTAAGAGTTCTGTATCTGTGGACTGGCTTTTGCCAAAGTGACAAAAACAAAAACAAAATAAAAAAAACCTTTGCTCCACTCAGTTATCTTGCTGCCTTGGGGTGTGAGCTCTTACCTCACTTTGGAACAAGCATTTTTCTTACCTAGAAAGTAGAAAACCAGAGTGCACAGCAAGATGGTACACTCCAAGAGAATGGACACAGGCTCAGGTTAGTTTAGCAAATGGAGCAGCTTAGCTTAGTTGAAATAAGCAAGTTAAAATGCCTCGTTCACAGTGTCCAGTCTCCTAAAAAGAGGTTCTTACGTTTAAAAAGAGAAAAGAGGAGAACCAGCAAGACATCACAAGGCAACAACAAAAGTTGGTTGCAACCTCCCCATGGTCTGGCTTCATGTGGGGCATCAAGCAGGGGTTCATGCATTCAGTCTGCACACTGGGCGGGCGCAACGCAGCTGCCACCATGGCGTCATGCAAAACTGGAGACCCCTCATTCCCCTCCCTGCCCGTTCACTAGGGGCCAGCTGATACCCTTACAGCCCTAAGTACCAAAAGGACTGCAGTATACTCCTCGTCCCCACAGGTAATTCAAAATAGAAACAATACCAAAGCTCAAAATATGTAGAAAGACATCCTGCCAAGTTTTTTCTCCAAGATGACTGCTTTGATGCTTCTCTTTTTCAATAGCAAATATAAAACTCATTAAAGAAAATCTCCCTTTTTCTTTTTCAAAGTTTTCATTACGGCATCTTCATTAATGGCTTAAGCATGTGGATCACTGGCTAACACATAGTACAAACACTATTTGTAGCACTGCTGCTTTTTTCTTTTCACCATTCCCCTTCCTCCCTCTCAACCCTCTTTTGGGTCGGTATCCTTAAAAGCAATCATTGCTGATGCTGCCCAGGAAAGAAAGGTGAGAACAATCAGGAAGTCTCCCATGATGTGTCTGTTACTAAGTCAGTTTCCTGCAGAGCACAGGGCCTGTGTCTCTACCATGTTCACTGCCCTTGAAGGTAGATGTATTAGGAACCACACTTCAGAGTCAGGTGGGGGGAAAACAGCAACTGTTTGACCTTGTGGAATGACCTTGAAGGACTAGGAAAATCAAAGTGAAGTCGCTCAGTCGTGTCTGACTCTGCGACCACTTGGACTGTAGCCCACCAGGCTCCTCCATCCATGGGATTCTCCAGGCAAGAATGCTGGAGTAGATTGCCATTTCCTTCTCCAGGGGATCTTCCCAACCCAGGGATAGAACCTGGGTCTCCTGCATCGCAGGCAGACGCTTTACTGTCTGAGCCACCGACTAGGAGCCCCAACCTATTTAGATATGTATTGCCAGAATGCAAGAGAACCATTAAACTTTTGTCTTCTCAATTAAAACTGGGTGTGGAGGAAAAATCAAGTGGGCTCATGTTACACATGTAAATGACTACGTTGAAAGTGAAAGTGAAAGTCGCTCAATCATGTCTGACTCTTTGCGACCCCATGGACTATACAGTTCATGGAATTCTCTAGGCCAGAATACTGGATGGAGTGGGTAGCCTTTCCCTTCTCCAGGGGGTCTTCCCAACCCAGGGATCAAACCCAGGTGTCCCATATTGCAGGCAGATTCTGTACCAGCTGAGCCACAAGGGAAGCCCAAAATGACTCTATTGCCCTTATCTAAGTCCCTTTATTCAAATTCAGAGAATGTCAGATAAATAGCCATGTTTAAGGTTGTAATAACAATCTGGTCCTTCTTTTTTTTTTTTTTTTTTTGGCCAAGCCGCACAGCTTGCAGGATCAGAGTTTCCCAAATAGGGATCAAACCTGGGTCCTCAGAAGTGAAAGCCCTGAGTCGTAACCACTGGACTGCCAGTGAATTCCCTGGTTCATCTGGAGATATGAAATTCCATTTCAGTCTGAAATATAGGAAACCTCTGGTGTCCATAAGTTGTCAGTTTTGAAGCTTAGATTGCATTTTTTATAAAAACAATGTCCTACAGTGTGACTGGCCTCCCAGGGCAGATAAGGAAGCCAACCCACCCTCCTGTCTATGGGAAAATGGACTCTAAATCCTAATGGGGTATTCCAGGACCATGCTTCCACCACTGATGTCCCAGCAGAGAGAAGGTGGAGCCCTGTGATGAGGACAGTGAGGGCCATTCCTACAGCTGGCTGACTGTCAAAGGCTCCTCACGGGTCAACTGTCAAACCACTACTGGCTACTATATGTTGAGAACTGCCTATCAAGTTATTTTGTTCTATTTTAATGTGAAAGCACATCTCTCATGCGTAGATGCTTGCTGCTTTCCTTCCACAAGTGTTTCCTCTGAAATCCTTTGTTCACTGGATTCTGAAGGCCGCTCACTTTTTCATCATAACCTGCAAGGTATTTCTGAATCATTATAGAATATCAGTGCAATCCATAAACCCTGCATTGACTCAGTTTTCCTCCATTTTTACTACTTCTGAAAAACCTATACTTTTGTCTACTATATATTATACTATATATACATCTACAAAAGATTTTTAAAAGGTTCTTCAGGTAACAATAATGTTCTGGGAATTGTAAAGTCTTAGATATTCTTTTAAGCATATGTTTATGCACCACTAAGATCTTTTTCTATGATGAGTCATCACTCGCCCACCAAGAACCCTTTGCCCAACTTTGCCTCCTTGGTCACCTTAGACTGAGTTCATTTCCCCAGGTGCTTGAGTCAGGGAGCTGAACTGGGTCTTTCTGGCTCACCTGGCACCACCACCACCTTCTAGGTTTGAGTAAGAAAGTGCCTAACCCAAGTGTCAAAGGGATACTGGGGAAACCAGGTCCCTTATTTTGCACTGGGATATGGTCATGGAATCTAGATAAGGAGCAACCTGGTTATCCTCCTCATAGAATGATTAGCTAAAACTGATTTCATTTCTAAACTCCACAAAAAACAAAAGTAGAAAAAAGACATTTGATTTTTTGAGAAAATGTAATTAGCAATATTAGGTTCATTTCAAATTTCATCCAGTATGCCATTCAAACAATTCAGTTAACTTTTCTTGGTATAATCCAGATATGACCCTTTCAATTTCATTTATTGCAAGTACCTAAACAGTTTTTCTTTAGCACCTCCAACGACAAGGAACGCAAGCCAAATAAACTCCTAGCATCCCAGTCAGGTTCAGTAGGGGCTGAATCTGACTTCTCATAGACAGGAAACCACATATTTAATTACATAGACTTATTAAATTAACACTTTTAATGTCTGCCAGGGGTAGCTCTGCCAGTCCAACATGGCCACTCCTGCTGCTGAATCCCATGGAGAGAGCAGGTGGTGGAATAATGGGACATGGCAATGGTCTTCCATAGCCTGCAATTATAACACGGCTGAAAGAACTCAACATTCGTCCTCAAATCTTGTGATATGAACTGTCAGCAAACTATGGCACTATTAACCTTCAGGTTCTTTTCCTATCAATACCTAGAATCTCTTTTCAGTGTATACCACCATCACCTATGGTGTGGATATACTTTATGTGCATATAGATGACCATATTGCTCACATCAAAACTCCTGTCTTCAGATTTAGAGAATTCAAATAAAAAGCTGCATCCAAGTTAATAACAGCAATTCTGTTCATTGTTAGATGAAGAGATGAAATTATCTTTTTAAATACTTGTCTCTCATCCTAAGCTTTAGAGAAAGATGCTAATAAAATGATACTTCAGTCTCGATTTTTTTCAATGTCCAGGAAAGGCAACAGTTCTAATGACCCAGTGGAGCAACATTATTATTCAACGCTGAATGATAGCCATAAGCCTCCTTGGCAACCACGCTTGCAATCTTCTGCACCACAGTTCATAGCTTTATAAGAGCAGAGGGTGAGAGCAAATAAATGCAGATATGGGAGAAAGTTGACCAAAATGGCACAAGGGCCTATGTTCAGTTTTCACAAGCTTTCTCAGAGAAAAATCCTAACACCTTAAAGACTGAGAATTCATAGACTAAACTATACCTTAGTATCCTCACACTTCTGGAATACAGAACTAGCTGAAATTACTTAGGTATGCCTACCACATGACCCAATATATCAGAATATTTTTAAAAGATAGCCTACCCAATAAAACATTTTTTCCTTTTAAGAGTTTCACCATCTTGCTCAGGGAAGTCTTGCTTGCATTAACCAAAGTTTTCAGACTCTACTATTCTGCTAAAAAGAAGTAATCTAAATTCATACTATTGTTTCGACCACAAATCTCGATAAAGCTTCATATCATTTTACACACACAAATTTGCACACATTCACATATGCATGTACACTCAGATATGCTTATGCTTTAACCAGATATTTAAGGGTATATATGGTTTAAAAAGAACCACAATGGCAGTGTCAGGAGCCAGAGCACAGCTGTATCTCTCATTCCTACTTGAACAGGTTGTGTTGGGTATGAAACTTCTTCCACAGCTACATTATTCAGAATGTTATACCTAAAGAAATTCAATATTAAGAAAAAGCAATACTTCCCCTGAGCAGTAACTATATTTTCCTTTAATCTAAAAGCATATGTACCTTCAGATTCTTTAGGCTATCTTGCTAATTTCTCATCCAGTAATAAAAACCCAGTTTCAGGAAGGCTTTCCAATAAACATATTTAGAGCAATTCTTTTTACAAACTATTTTCAACTTTTGACTCGAGAGAAACCTCTTTTCTATCTACATTGAACTGAATGACTTCAAAGTTTCAATTCAAACAGCAAATAATTATACTTCCAAATCATCTCTAGACTAATCATCTCCAAAACTGTGTGAAGGGTGGGAACATTGAAGCTTCATCATTCAGTACCCAAAGGCTTTTATTGCAAGGTTGAAGTAGTTATTTAAAGCTCCATACAAACCACATAGCTACTATTAAAATCTAAAGATCTAACATCTAAAAATCTAAACTAAAGATTCCCATGGAGCAATAAATAGCACAAATAGCAGTACCTTCTACAAATTTAAACTGCTGAAATGACATGTTGAAGAATTCTGTCTTCATTTTTTCCTTTGTTCCAGGACAGACAAATAGTTACTTTATACTACTGTGTGCCTTCTACAATGTTTTCCTATAAGGGTCATAGGGAAGGAAAGGGGTGTTAACAGAACCCAGCCACACATATCTGCACGATAGCATCCCCCCAAAGGTTATTTCTCACCTCACTAAATGTCCATCTCTTCCCCTTTATTTTCTGTTCTGATAACTAGATATCTTTTGCAAATATAAATACACTGTACAGGCCTAAACTACTTATATACACAGTGATAAATGCTTTTTTCCTTTCCCCAAAGAAACATGCAATTCAAGCTGTGAGCTAGGCCAGGCCACTGTTTTGAGGTCCTGCTACAGAACAGTGCTCTCATCTCCAAATGCTGAAGTGGTACATTTGTCACTGCATGCGGCTAGATGGCTAAGATGCCCAGCCAACTCTTTTCCAGGCCTTTGAAACTGAAGTCTCCTAACACCAAGGAGGCATAAGCCTGGCATAAGCCAAGTTGATTTTCCTTGAGGCATACTTATGAAAAAGTTCAAAGGAGAATTCTAGAGTAACAGATCATGGAACTACTGAAATGTATAATAACTTTTTTTTACAGTAATGAGACACTAAGAAAAGTTTTTGCTAGAATTATTTTGGCCCAAACAAACACATATTTTTTTGTTGTTAGGTACCACGTAAGTGACTCATTAACTGGGCAAAATCTTAATATCATGATGAGAAAGTTAAATGTGTTTGTGTCTTTGAAAGCACAGTGATGTCAAAATTACTGTTTCACTAAACAGGTTCAAATTTATAAATATCTCTGAAGAAAAGAGGTACCATCTGATAACACCCTTCCAAGTTGAAGCCACTCAAAAATTTGTAGGCTTATTCATTGAATCTTAATATAATAACAAAATTAGCAGAAAATGTTTAACTTGTTTAAATCACTTTTTGGCTTGTTTTTCTTTCATAATAAATTTCTAATAATAACATTTTACCTGGTTTAAATATATTGAATTGAGAATTCCAAATATAAAATATAAAAAAGTTCATAATTGAGGTAATTACTCAGATAATTCAGGTCAAAAACTTCCTCTATTAAGTAACCAGATGGAGGCAAAGTGGGTTTTGAATTTGGGTAATATTCTTATTTCCCACTTAAATTTGTTTCCCTAGATCTAACTGAAACTGAATTTGGCACAGGGAGTATTAGGTCTTATCTACAAGTCACAATAAACAAGTCATCACAGCACAAAAAGATATAGGAAGCAATTACCCAATGAATTCAAGGTATGAAAACACCAAACTGGATAAAATAGTTTCAAATATTTGGATCACAATCAAGGTTTGTTTGTGACTATCTGGTGTGTCTATTTAAACAAAGTTACTTCAGTGATCAAGGTACAATCCAAACTGAAAGGTCATATGAAAACACACCTAGTCTACCAGTCATGTCAATATTAACAGTTCATTAAAAAATATTAAGTGACACAAAGCCACAGACTTCAAATTCCAATGAGACACTGATTTAGTAGGTTAGGGAATTAATGAAACTGTTTTCTAATGTTTTTATAAAATAATAAAGCTTTTCAAATAACAAAGCTATACATGCTAAAAATAAGGTTGTGAAAATTTCCAAATGTCAATGGCATATAAACCAGTTTTAAACAGATACAAAGAACTTGTATGAGGAGATGCACTTATATCCAACAACAGTTTCCTGGATTATCTGCATATAAATAAATGTTTCTCAGGATGCTTGCTCCTAAAACTACTTTTATCAAAGAACTTCTCCTTTAAGTACTGCATGGAAGTGCTTTCTACATTTTGTGTTTTCCCATCTGCCTGAAGATGATATTTGAGGTTCCATGTTTCTTCTTTTCTGACCCATTTCTGGACACAAATATCTATTTTTAGTAGTTATACTGTTAAAACTCAAAATCTGGTAGCAGGAACTCAAAACCTGGTTATGTAAGCAGAAGAGAGAAGTGCCAGAGCCACTGAGAAAAAGACATGCGGCATTGCTTACTTAAATCCCCATCCTGTGCCCCCCAGGACAATAGCTGCTACCAGGATGGCACCAGCGATGGAGCCTATTATGAGATTGGTGGCGCTAGGACCTGTGGCAAAGGATCATGGGAAGAAAGTCATATGAGCTGACCGCTTTCATCACCACCAGGGACAGGCAGATAAGCAGTTACAGGAAGCAAATCCCCTCTGAAAAGGATCACTAAACACTTACATCACCTTTGTTTATAGACAGCTATTGCTTAGATTCGCCTGCCTATAAATCTAAAGTTTCTGCACCACTGACAGAATAAGTTCCATTCCATTCACCTTCTGCAGAATCTGAAGAAAGTTACAGATGCCCACTTGCTGCCATCGCCCATATTTTTTCTCCTCCCCTACCTCAGGATCAGGAAGCAAAAAAGTAAAAGAACGAATAAACATGACGGCATTAGAATTTGTACTCTCTGGCTGGCAAATGAAGGCATGAAAAGAATGAAAAATATTCCACTAAAGTGCTCTTGCAAGCAGCAGAAAAAGTTTTCTAAATGCTAAATTTTTTATCCCTCATTGAAGACAGTTAAAATTCAGAAGGAAGAAGGAAGGTACCAAAAAAGATCTAACTGGGAAGTGCTCAAAGATACTTCTTCATTGCAGAGACCCATACAGTGTTTACACAGCAACATGGAAATCCAAGGACAAGATACAAAGGAAGCATAAAATTTATTTGAGTAATTTTGGGGAAATAGGATAAAGATTCCTTAAGTTCAACTGACTCTATCTTCAAATTTCCAGGTATTACTAAGAGAAATTTGAGGCTTGGAGACATTTGAGAAAAAAAAAGAAGTGAGAAGTAAAGACAGCAAGAATGAAAATGCAAAGTGGAATTTTTTTGTCAATTTTAGTAACAGTTGAAACATAGAGTAAATCCTCTCTATTCACGTGGAAAACACCTTAGCACACTATTTTTAAATATAAGCAACATTAACTTCAGTACATGAATTATTCTAAGTATCACATCCTCCTTGTGATACTTAGGTACACAGGTACAATGCTCCTAATAGCAAACTAATTCCAGTCCTATTTATCTCTGTTCCAGAAGTCATGAAACCAATTTTGATAGTTCTCCTAAAATCCTGAATTTGTGCATACATTCATTTTTGTGTAAAAAACTCTCTTTTCTGCTCACATTAGTGCCCTCAGCTCTGTATGTAAATGGATGCCACTGCACTAAAACTGTGTGCATTGTATCTTTTTTACTAAGATCTTCCAGTGCTGTGGGCATGAGTGGGATAGAGTGTAGGGCAATGGGAGTGTTGGGGACATGGTCTTCACAGGCTCCTGGACAGGGACATGCTCTTAAGATGAACCACTGAGGTTCTAGCACCTGTAGAGCCCCACTAACAATAATAAATAATTGCAAGAGCAAGAACAAGATTACCTACTGTATATTGAGCACTTGCTATTTACCAAGTGCAGTTCTAAGTGCTTGACAAATATTAGTATTTCATTTGATCCTTATAAAACCCGTATGAGATAGGAACTATTTCTATCCCTCTTTAATGGATGAAGAAACAGAGGCTTCTAGACATTAATAAGCGACAGAGGCAAAATCTGAACACAGATTTGTCTGACTCTCAAGCTTATGCTACAAATTGAGGGGCAGCCAACTACAGTCCACAGGCCAAATTTGTCCCTGATGAATTTTCTGGCAAATAAATTTTATAGGAACATGGCCACGATCACTGGTTTAAATACTGTTTATGGCTGATTTCAGGCAGAGCCAATAGAGGTAGAACACAAGGCTATAACAGACACCCTGCAAAGTCAAAACAACTTACTATCTTTACACAAAGATTGCTAAACACTATCCCACTTAGCTGAACTTCCTTCCCACATTTCTTTTTCTGTTTTTTTTTTTAAATACAGTTGATTAACATTGTTGTGTCAGTTTCAGGTATACAGCAAAGTGATTCAGTTACATGTTTACATGTATCCATTTTTTTTTCCAAATCTTTTCCCATTTAGGTTGCTACAGAATATTGAGCAGAGTTCTCTGCACTGTACAGTAGGTCCTATTGGTTACCTAGTTTAAATATAGTAGTACTTATGTGGACTTACCTGTCACACCCAGAAATAGCCACAAACTTACAACAGTGGAAGAGTAGAGAAAACAAAGGCTGGTAAAAAAGACTATGCTTTAGAGCAACTGCTTCAATTTTGCCCAGCTCTAAGACTCCAAGGGGAATTTGCTAACACGTATCCATTTCATTAGTACATTGCAGTTATGGCCAATAAATAATACAAAAAAAGGAACTGGGATGACTTTTTTGAAAACTACCTTTTTTCAAGGAAGAATTTCACATAAATGTATATAAAGAATTTCTCTTGGGAAAGATATGTTGCTTCTGTGTATAGTCCAATTAACACACCTAAAGTGAAATTGTACAGGACAAAGTTCTTGCTTTCTCTAAATATTTTAGCTCTGTCATATATAAGTAAGTAAGGAGAAATAAAATATTTATTTTCTAACAAGTGATAAATAAAATATATTTTCCAGTATTTCTAGCTTCCTGGGGTTAATTAGCCTCACAGTCCATAGAGATGGGATGTGAATTAAAACATCCCAGTCCAGACAAAGCCCTTTGACGCAGGGGAGAGAAAGTTTAGTAAATCTATAGTGGAAAGTGTGACCTCTGGACTTGTTCCTCTGTTAATGCTAATTTGGCATCTAGGTCTCCCAGGCCCATACCGTACTATATGTGGCCACTAACGGGACTAAGGAGAAACATGAGTGATGTTAGCAACATGCCCAGGGTTTGGGGAGGTTGTTGAATAGAGGCTATCTGTGATTTCTTAAAATACTAGGAATTCATTCCCCAGCCACTGGGAAATGTTATCACCACTACACTCAATAGAAAAGACAGCATGTATTGGGAGTATTTCTATTATTTGTATATGCTCTCTCTGTAATTAGAGGGGAAAAAATATCAGGATAATCTTTTAGTCTACAGATTAGCAATCTCATAAGATCAATACCCCATAGAGAACTGATAGCCGTTGTGAGGATGTGGATCAAGTACAAAGCAACATAAATAAAACACCAAGGAGAGCTGTATTTCTGTATAGGGCAAGTGGCACACAATAGATTTATTTATACACCGGTTATTCTTTAAGACAAATGCACTAGATTATTTGCAACTGTTCACCTAAGGTTTTGTAGGTTTACACTAAATATCTTCTTTTTCTTTATGCTCTTTGTTTCCAAATATTTATGCAACCTTTGGATTTGAATGATTAACTATTCTATAAGAAGAAAATAAGGAGTATCGTAAATGTCTTTTCTAAAAAAAACTGGTAAACTAAATAGCTTCTTTTTAAAAAAAAACATTAAGCTGAAGGCTCCTATATCACTCTAAATAAACAGAGCAAATGTTAGTGGCTATATTTGGATTTTCTTTAAAAGGAGCTACCACTGTTGATAATTTCTAGCTGTATATGTGGATCTATTTGACTAGTGATGGAGAAGGAAATGGCAACCCACTCCAGCAGTCTTGCTTGGGAAATTCCACGAACAGACGAGCCTGGTGGGTTACAGTCCATGGAGTAACAAAAGTTGGACGTGACTTAGCAATTAGACCATTTGACTGTGAAGATTAAATCTGTTATAAGAATCCTAACAAAACCCTCATAGAAAAGCATTTGTGTTAACGGTTTGGCAAAAAAAGATTTGTATCTTAAAATTACGTTTATAAATGGAGCAGCAATGGCAGCTTTGGGACCACTGCCTTAATTGTGAAGACATCATCAACACCCCAGTATTATTTTATGCCCCACATTGTTCCAGACAGGAGAAGGTTTTCCACTGCACAAGAAAACCAGAGGACACAAAGACATTCAGATCACACCACAAGGGGTACACGGCAACGAGACAGCACACAGGGGAGTCGGGGGCCAAGGGCCAGCTCCCACACCGGGGGTCAGACAGAAGCACGCTGAAACTCAGAAAGATGCTTACTCTATTCCCCACCCTGTGCCTCCAAAAATCACCCCCAGGGCCAGAATGGTGCCAGCCACGGCACCTATTAGCCTGCTTGTGGCCATGTTCACTGTGTGGAGGGAAAACGGAGAGTTTTTAACAAAGGAAATTAATCACACACTGATATCACTAACACACAACATAATCTGTTCAGGAAATGCTTTGAAAGTCAAATATTGAGATCTTTGCCTAAAGATTTGAAATTAAGATCTACATACACATTGCAAATATTTGAGAATAATTCTGAATGTATCTTCAAATTCCAAAAAACCCTACTTAAAACACAGTCTCTTATACTTTAAACATGTATAATAAATAATCCAATTTGAGTTATAGGTTCTACATGGAGTGAGATAAAATTAAAGTATAATTTTAATTGCATAGCAGCAAATCTGTGTGTTTATTATAAAAGCAGTAAACCATTAGTATACTCTTTATAAACTTCTCAAACTGCAAAATATGCCTAAGAAGCTATATCTTTTTTAAAACTCAGAACTTATCATTCAAATTTTATGAACATACTTACAAATTTAAAATAGAGTTATCTTTAAAATGGACTGTATTTTCAGCCAGAAAATTATTTTATCTGGAGAAGTATATTTCAAATAACCTGCAGTGTTTGGGACCTACATAGTACTGGAACACTTTTAGTTTTTTTTATAGTCTCCAGTGTATAAACTATGCGCTGAGAGAAAGTTAGGGTCTCAATGATGCTGTAGTAATTGTTTCAGACGACCCAGCAGTGTTTGACTCAGTGGAGACACTCCATCCCCACACATCAAAGCTTCTGTGAACAGATTTTGAATATTGCAAAATGGGCCTGGAATGAGCACAGGTCCCTAGTGCTCCCTGATTGGGCAAGATGAAATTTAGTGTTGGAGGAAGGCAGGTTATTTAGGGTTGAGTGTGTCTGTGAGTCTGTGTCTGTGACTATGCATGCAAACCTCTGGACAGAAATGCACTTTAACTCACATTTCTATATGAACCAAAAGACCTGGTTCCCTTCACTTTAACAATGAAGATTAAAAAATCAGTTTCCACAAGGCTGTATTCACATAAATTGTATGCTCTGAG